ACCGGGCCGAGGGGGGCCTGGAGGCGGGGCCGGGTGATTACCGCCCGCCGGCGTGTGGTGGAGATCGTGCTGATTGGGGGAGCGAGGGGAGGAGACCCCAGGGGAACTCGGTCTAACTCGGCGCCAGGCGGAGGAAAGCAGCGAGGGTGTGGTAGTTGCTAGGCGATTGAACGGCTGGGCTCTGAGTCAAAGGAATGGAGTGAATTTGCGTTGCTTCGTCAATGCGTTCAGCTGATATTAAATCGGTCCTGTAGCCTCCTTATCTTGTAGTCAGCTCGACACTAGCGGAATTCGCTGTGTGTCTGATCACTTGCGTAAAACGTTCTTAGAAAGATTGGTATTCAACGTAATTGTTCAGTGCATTTTGAATGCAACCCTATAAGATTTGCTGCTCATTTTCTGGAATGTTGCGGGTGTATGGGCGTTCCAACTTCACAGAAAAGTGCACTCGTGTCTGTTCATCACGTTTGCAAGATGCGTGTTCACTGCTGTATCCCAGCATCTGTTTCTCCAGTCTCGCAGTGCATCAGCTCACTCGGCTCGCTGTGTACCTTTTCCCGCCATTTCCGATCTGCCAGTTCCCGCCATTTCCACTCTGCCTGTTCCCGCCATTTCCACTCTGCCTACTCCCGCCATTTTCGCTCTGCCTGTCAGCTTCAGCGAGACGCGGGCACTGACCTCTCCCCTGCTCCAGGTGATCCTGAACAAAGGTCATGACCGAGCAGTCGACTACTGGAGCCTCGGCGTGCTCATGTTCGAGCTCTACACGGGAGCGTAAGTACCAGTCTGCTGTCGGCTGCTGGGCGCTGTCGTGAGGTCGAAGGTCGCAGGGCACCTTGGTTTCCTGCAGCTAGAGTTCAGCGAGGGATACTTAGGGTGTCAGATTGGATTTATATGCGTTCAGCTCTGCCACCCATATTCGATTCTCCGAAAGCTGGAGGTGCCTGTCGTTGTACTCGTGGCGGCACTCTAGGTATGGATACGACACGCGATTACCATGATGTGCCTGATAGCCTCCCAATGCGTGCCTGGTGCCTCCGGGCAGACCCTGACACCTCACACGTGACACTGGTGATCACTGACATTGACACAGGACACCTGACACCCACCTGACATTGTCAGCATTGTTAACATATACACGACGGAACGCACGCGAACGCCGCAGCCTGCCTTCCACGCTCGTCGCCACGGCTTTCGTACCAGTCGAACTGTCCGGAGTTGTCGAGGGAAACAAACGATTCGTTGGTCTGTGATTGGTGGCGACAAACGACTGTTTATCTCCGGTCCGGACAAGCCACCATTTGCCTCTGACTGATAGCGACATAGAGTCGTTGGTCTCGGCCTGTTGCAAACGATCGTTGCTTGCTGATTGGTCGTCGGTCTGTGGCAATGGCAAGTGACTGGTGACCGCTGATTGGTTGTTAGCTCGTGACAGGCCATTGTCTGGCCCCTGATTGGCGTGATGGTTGAACAGTCATGAACGTCGCCCTTACCAAATGGCAAGTACCGCTGCGCTGACTCAACTGGTTAACGGGCTTGACAAATGATTCGCATCACATTCCTGGAAACTCTGTCTTGGAGGCTCGAGCGATCGCTCCGTATTTACAGTGATAACTATCGCCGAGGGGGAATAATATAAAGCGGTATAAAGCGGTATCAAGCGGTAGCGGTAGCGGTAGACCTATGCGCCAATGTCGCGTCATGAGCCTGTGATGAACCCAAGCGTCACGTTGTTCATGCTTGCGCTGCCAGTTTCGTTGTTTTTCGCTTTTCAAACTTTTCAAACTTTTCCAAATTAAGAAAGTAGCTACTATGGCGTTGATTATGTTGAAATGATTGCGATCTCAATTTCAATAACCACGGCGGCGAGGTTGTTGTCTTGATGGTGGTGGTTTGATGATGACAACAATGATTTTTCATTATTCTAGCCCGCCGTTCTCGGCGTCTGACCCGATGAAGACGTACAACATCATCTTGAAGGGAATCGACATCATCGACTTCCCCCGGCACATCCCCCGCTCCGGCGAGCAGCTGATCAAGCGGCTGTGCAGGGACATCCCCACTGAGAGGCTCGGTGAGTGACGGCTGGGTCGGCCTCTGTGGGACAGTCCATGGCTGGGTCAGCCTCTGTGGGACAGTCCGTGGTTGGATCAGCCTCTTTGGGACAGTCCGTGGTTGGGTCAGCCTCTGTGGGACAGTCCATGGCTGGGTCAGCATCTTTGGGACAGTCCGTGGTTGGGTCAGCCTCTGTGGGACAGTCCATGGCTGGGTCAGACCATGTGGGACAGTCCGTGGTTGGGTCAGCCTCTGTGGGACAGTCCGTGGTTGGGTCAGACCATGTGGGACAGTCCGTGGTTGGGTCAGCCTCTGTGGGACAGTCCGTGGTTGGGTCAGACCATGTGGGACAGTCCATGGTTGGGTCAGACCATGTGGGACAGTCCGTGGTTGGGTCAGCCTATTTGGGACAGTCTGTGGCTGGGTCGGCCTCTTTGGGGCAGTCTGTGGCTGAGCTGGCCCCTGTGGGCCAGTCTTTGACTGGGTCGGACTCTGTGGGACAGTATGTGACTGGGTCAGCCTCTGCGGGACAGTCTGTGGCTGGTTTCTATGGGGTTCCATTCAGCCCATGCTTGCTTGATTACGTCGCTGAAATAATATACCGTGACATTTTATAGGTTGCTTATGATCCGACTTATGCTGCACTTAGCGAGATGATACGGTAGTATGATGTGATAACTCGTAATAGCTCATTCAAAACTCTCAACCCGCAATGTTGTGCTCCCTTCGTTGTTGCTAGTCGTCTGTTTGTCATCTGCTGATGCTTTGACTGAAAACCGAGTCGGTGGTTCGGGAAGCCATTTTGGCATTTTGAGATGGGTGTTGTGGTCACACCTGTATGCTTTCATGACGATATACTGGCACAAATGAAAGCAGATTTAAATTTATTGATCTTTCTTTCGTTCGCTGATGACGTTATCAGTGATTCAAACAAAGCATAAATCACCACAAAACCAAAACATCGAAAAATCTCTAAAAAAGGACAGGAACACGACCACCAAAATCATTGCCATCCTGCGCAGTCTAATGAACTCAAAGTACAAGCAGAATTGATGTCGCGGTAGCTTTCGGTCTCTGGTTTTGTTCTGATTACGCTGTAAAAATAACGATAGAACCAAAACAAACATGCCCCTCGTAAGCCAGCTAGCTATATTCAGCATTGTTTAGTGTGTGTGGGGGGGGGGGGGGTGAGGGCAGGAGAGATAGAGTCTGCCACCATCAGGGTGACTCTGTCAACCCTGTGCCCCCCCCCCCCCCCCCTCCCTTGGCAAGGCTTGTAAACAAGTGAGCTATATCCGTCGATTTACTGGGGTCGGCAGTCACCATCAGGGAGCTTTTGGCAGCTCTGTGCCCTCCCTTGGCAAGGCTCTGGCCAGGTCCCTGCCTACATACAAAAGCAGATGCAATCAGGTTCACTGAATAAGAGGCAAATTAATGCTGAGTGGACCAATTCATGCCTATGGTGCTGTAGCAGGTGTCCAATAGATGATTTACAGCAGACATGAAGTTTCTCAGAATGGATCGGGGCTACGGAGATCGAACAGCGAGAATGACTCGGCCCGCCACCAAAATATACCAACAAGCAGATTTTTCCGCCGGATTTTGCTCGTTTTCTTCCAAAACATGGGAAAAATGAAGCCCATTTGGGGAGGGTCAGCTTTCCTTCCCAGCTAAATGGTAGATCACGCTCCTGATTTACGCACCAATAAGAAGTGATGCTGATCCATGAATGTGCGGCAAAGCAGCCATAGGACCCGTGGTAACTCAAAATTCCTTCCCGGTAGTGAAGTTTTGCTTCGACAACGAAAACAGTGTTGAAATGGACGTGTAATGTTAGGAAGTTGGATAGTCTTATTTCCCAAATGGCATAGATGAGTCGAACGGACAAGAACGTACGCCAGTGGAAGGAGCTGAAAACGTAAATCTAGCATGGTCAACGTAACATTTGATTTGTTCCAGAATGTGTTATGCTATTAATTAAGAAAGCGGACGGTGTTCATGTATTTCGTTTCGCCCCCCCCCCCCCCCCTCATGTCCGTACTCCCCTGGTCACCTGGCTTGCTTCCCACTAAAAAAAATTTAAGCGTACTCTGAGTCTGCTCCCCAATTTTTGAAACGTTCCTACGCCTATGGCCGACTGCGTATTAGACTTAAGCGGGCGTTCAAAATCCCACAATATTCCCATTTCAATATTTTGTTATATTCCCATTTCAATATATAAGTCGTGCAGCGTGTGGCATCCGCAAGCCTCGCTGCATCACCGAGTCAGCCCTGACTCCGTCGTCTGTCGACCCACTCTCTGCTAGTCAGTTGTCCGTGTGAGGCCGGTGTCACCGACGAAATAAATGCTATTAAAAAATATGAAAATATAAAAATATGAAAAGAATGAAAATCAGAAAAATATGAAATTTGGCACGTTATTTCTTGTATGAAAGACGCCATTGTTCTGGCCCTTTTCTCAGCGGTGACAAGCAACTGCATATTTTCTGCGTGTTTATGCGGCGAGAGCATCGCTTTTTTCATGTGTACGCGCATGCGCGTTTGTATAGTTCATCAGTCAAGCTAATCATGCTGAATGTTATCGGGAACTGCGTCGAGCTTTAATAAAACATGTCCCATGATCAGAATGCCTAAATGGGACAGGCCCGCCCTGCACAACTGCACAACTGCTCTCAGCGCAGGTCCGTTCGTCATCTGCCACTGTGCGGCGGGAACATGCCCTGGCATGAGGCCGACTGGTGAGCGAGGGCGAGCCGCCGCCGGACGCGCTCTACCGGCAGACGAGGACTACCGCCGCCACCGATGCTAGCAGCGCTGGTTGGAACTGAACTGACCGTATGCGTCGTCGGCACGAGCCTTATCTTACCTACTTCTTACCTTACCAACGCCAAGTCTTACCTTACCAAGCCGTACTTCTTCACCGCAGGGTACCAGCGCAATGGCGTCGAGGACATCCGAAAGCACAAGTGGTTCCAGGGCTTTGACTGGGAGGGCCTGCGCTGTCGAAGCCTCACGCCGCCCATCATACCGCAGGTCGGTGAGGTCAATGCCAGGTCAGGTCAGGTCAGTGCAGTCAATGTCGGATACGTCAGGTCGGTGCGATCAATCTCAGGTCACGTCAGGTCAGGTCGATCAATGTAGGTCACGTCAGGCAGGTCGATCAGTGTCAGGTCACGTCAGGTCAGTGCGATCAATGTCAGGTCAGGTCAGGTAAGTACGATCAATGTGGGGTCGGGTCAGATAACGCCTGGTGGGGGTATCAATCAAGGATAGAATAGTCGTAGGTTTTGGGCTTTTTGAAGGGAGGACGTTTCGTGTCGTCGAGCACCGGTTTTGTGGGGTGTTAGCTGGTGCGGAGCACTAAAGGGACTCGTGGGCTGAAGGGTCTGGCGAGGATCGGACTCGGGTCCCCAAAGTTAGAGTTGGTGCCGGTAGTGACTGGACTTTCTGGCCGTCGATTTGCGCGCGTGTCCCGCTCCCGATGACGCCAGTAATGTTCTGATGACGTCAGTGGTGTTCCGATGACGTCATTGGTATCCATATGACGTCAGTGGTTCTTGATGCCGTCAGTAGTGTGCCGGTGATGTCAGTGGTGTTCGGTGACGTCAGTGATGCCCCGATGGCGTCAGTGGTGTCTTGATGACGTCATTGATGTTTGGATGACGTCAGTGGTGTCTCGATGTCTCCGCTCCCGGCAGCGGCGCGTCCGATGCGCGCTGACGGAACGGTGCCCCGTCGTTCCAGGTGAAGGGCCCCACGGACGCGTCCAACTTCGACTGCTACTCGCGCGACCTGGAGACACCTCCGGACGAGCTGTCCGGCTGGGATGATGACTTCTGATGGTGTGAGACGCGGCCGCCCGCGCAGGCCGCCACGGAAGACGGCGTCACCGTCGCTGAGAAAGACGGCGCCACCGTCGCGAGGGAGGACGGCGCTATCGTCGCTGCGAAAGATGGTGTCACTGCCGCTGCTGACGAGGGCGATACCAAGGTCACCAGGGACGGTGCCACGGACGCTACGGCGGAGAAAGGCACCGTGGCTTCGGAGCACAACGCCGCCGCTGCTGCAGGAGTATTCGCCTCCGCTGGCGTGGAGAGCGACGCCGCCGCCAACGAAGATGGCGCCACTGCCGCCGCAGAGGACGTCCCAGCGCACAGGAGGACTCGTCCGAGCCTGTGACCTGCTCAGCACTAGGGGCTGGAGCCGTTGGGGTGACGTAATCGATGAGTCACCCCAGTGAGCCGCGCGGGCCAGCGCGAGAAAACCGACACATCATGTCACGTGCCTCCGCAGCGACGTCGCCGCCCGTTTGGCGCGGGCGAGGCCGCCGACCACGTGACCCGAGCCGGCCGGGGTCACACGGCGCCGCTCGCCACCAGGGTGCGGGCTGCGAGGCGCGGAGTGCTCGAGCGGTGGCGGACTCGGGGCGCCGTCTCGTACGCCGTCCAGTGGAGTGGGGTTGCGCGGGTGACGGTCGCCTTTAGGGATGGGTCTGGTGTTGAAGCGCGCGGCGGCGGACACAGCTGCGGCCTGCCCGCCAGCGGCAGCGATGACGTGGGTCTCTTCGAAAGTCGTCTACAAAGCCGTGTCGCGAGAGATGTTTATTTTTTAGAGAGCGTGCGCAGCGGTGTGTGATAAACTTTGGCGCGTTCTGCGCAGGACAATCATAGCGTGGCGCCGGATTAACGAGCCCACGAGGTGGCACCGGGCGTCAACATGGCGTCAACGTCAACTCAACGTGGCGGCGTCCTGGTTCACGGCGCCCTGGCGGAGGCAGACGCCATAGGCAGGTGGCAACAGCACGCCGTCGCTCTCCGGTTGCAGTGGCTGTGCGGATGTATCACTCGAGTGACGTCACGGGACTATATCACTGAGTGACGTCACGCGGTGAAGCGGACACTGCTCGCACTGCGTCTGTTCACATATTAATTGTAACGGTCGCCGGGAAAGCGATTGATGGCTGACAGCCAATCACGAGCGGAACTGGTCAGCGGCGTCTTTAATTGGCCGACCATCGGTGAGGATTCTGGACCGCGCACCAATCAGGGGAAGGTCTGTATTGGACGCCGATTCTGTAGTGTACTTGTTACCATAGAAGCGATACATCTGATTCTGCTAGCCGTTTGTATGGTCTTGCCGCTAGCCGCTTATTATGGCTTGTAGGGTCTTGTCATGTCTCCGACACTGGACAGCAGGGGCGAGGCCAAGATTTCATCGAGGTTACAGCTACAGCTAGCTGCTCGTCGTAGGGTCTCGTCATGGCTCCGACACTGGACAGCAGGGGCGAGGCCAAGATTTCATCGAGGCTACAGTCACAATCAGCCGCTCGTCGTAGGGTCTCGTCATGTCTCCGACACTGGACAGCAGGGGCGAGGCCAAGATTTCATCGAGGTTACATTTACAATTACAGTCACAGTTCAATTATTCACGGAAAGCTTTAACTTTTTGTCAAGAGCTGTCTACGCTACAAGGTAAAAGTGCGTTGCCCAGCGTTACACAGCGCCACGTAAAAAAAAAGAGTGGACCGGACTGAAGACGGATCGTCACTCCTTCACTCACCCCGGCACGCTCACACTCATCATCACAACATCACAGATAAATCGAACATAAAATCAGAACATCACAGACAAGCCGAAGAAGCATGAGCTGCCGTAGTGCTGCACAATGATCCGCCCCAATCAGATCCAAAGACCGATCCGTATCGCACACACAGAAACCAAACGGGAAGCAGAAGAAGTGGACGGCGGGGAGGGCCGCGATGTGACTGGCATACATGTAAAATGATTTCGAATACAACTGCGACTAAGACGCCGTGGACATAAAACACAAAACGAGACGCTGTCTCGCACTATGACGAAAACCGGGAGACAACGCCATGTAAATTGCGCGGTCTTGAAAGCCGGGCCTCGGGCCTGAGCAATTGCCATATAAAGGACGCGATTTTGAGCGACTTGGCGATTTTGAGGGATTTGGCGGAATTCCAGAAAATCACTTGAAATACGGCGAGAAAGATGAGAGGCAAGTAAAGAATCTGACCGATGCTTCCAACAGAAAACTAGGCAGAGAGAACCAAGCGCAACAACATCAAATTCGGGGACAACGGGAGTCCTTCCGAATTAAGTGGGGAGGCCATAGCCATTTTGGGATTAATTTCGACACAGTATCCATCGAGTCAATGCTGAACTTTCAGAACATTGGGGCTCAGCCCCGTCCCTTTTTTCGGATCCTGAGTCCCTGACCACAGCCGAGGGAAAATCCGACTGTTTCTACGGCAGCAGCACGGCTTACAAAGCGAGACTCAAAACACAAGCACCCCGCAAAAAAGACAACAGACCCAACCCTGGTTACGGCAAGGCGGTCTTGGAGTCAGCGGTGAGTCAGCCCTGGACGCGGGCTAGCCGGTTAGCCGACTTTGCAGCTGGCTTATGGCTAACAACTAATGCAGGGCCCCGAATGGGCGTCACTTTCGGGTGAGGGCTGGAAAATACATGCGAGACCGTTGTAAATTTAGTCTGATCCAGCTGACTATACCCCAATATTTCAAGAAAAACTCGATTTCGTAAGATCTTGGCACTTCACACCCGCTGTTGTGCCATCAAGGAAATGTAGTCGGGCAGGGGTTTATTCCCACGGAGGCGATGAGGGCGACTGTGCGCTTACAGTTGGATACAAATGCAGCATAACCTCGCTCACCGCTCGCTAGCCAATAGCATAGTTTGAGCGCCCCGTGGAATCCCTGGCTCGTTCGGCCGACCGACGCCTCAGGGAACGCGGCATCTGGCGGCCGCCGGCGGGCCCCGGCAGGTCGGTCGACCTGGCGGCTGAAGGCGGGCCCCGGCAGGTCGACCTGGCGGCTGAAGGCGGGCCCCGGCAGGTCGACCTGGCGGCTGTCGGAGGGCCCCGGCAGGTCGACCTGACGGCTGCCGGCGCGTTCCGGTGGGTCAACCTGGCAGTAACAAGTCATCCCGGACCTTGGAAAATTACCCAAGGTCCTAAAGGTCAAGGTCAAGGGTCAAACTGTCGTTTTCAAAAACTAAAAACTTAATTAGTTCCCCTCCCCAAAGACTGCCTAAATTTTGTGTTAGTCTAGCCTACTTTTAGCAAAATTCAAAAAATATGGGGTTATATGGGTTAAAGTAGGTCCACACCTGTATGGGGTTTTGAATTCAAAAGGCCATTTTGAAAATCATTCCCTGCAGTTCACAGCCCTGTCTTTCTTATTATTTAAAAACCCTCTGAGCTATACGGCCGCGAAGATGTGCGAGCTTCTCCGCGCCGACTTCCAATGCCATTCAGGTCCCAATCACATTCAAATCCTGCCACCCCATTGGTCATGCGACGTCAAAGCCGAGAAGAATCTTATGGACGAGCCGTTCAGAGCTGGCGGCCGTGAACACGATTCCTAAGCATAGTGGACCTTAGTTGGCTCTCAATGAATGTTGAGCAAACACAGGTATGCATCTTAAATTCGCGGTTAAATATGCAAGCACACCACGATGAAGGGCCAAAACACTAGCACATAACGATATTCAGCTCAGAAAACACCTCCAGAACCTCCACCGCCACCTCCCGGCGATTTTTTTTTTTTGCTTTGTTTCAACTTCGTTATTCGCCATGAAAGGAAAGCGGGCTAACAAATCTCGCATAAGCTAATTCCTGAGTAATCTTGCACAAAAACGGCTCATCCTATGTAAGTCCAGGGGCTACTTTAGAGAGAAAGCACAGGAAAACCACACAAATGCAATTTTGCTTTGATAGGATGGGCAATACGGAAAATATGGTCAGCAAGGACCATCATTCAAGATCACAATTTATCGCATATATGTGGGGTAAAGCCCGCGAGTGAAAGCTGGGCTACGTTGCGTGCCGGTCCGTCACCTTCTTCCGACATTATTCATGCGCACCACGGGGCTAGGTGGTGAATCAGATTCCGTTAGATCTTCGTGCCCCATAGCGATTTAATCACGAAGTCCAGGTCAACATCGGATCGGGATCGGACAGAATCGCTGTCGCCTAGCAGCGTTCGGAGGGTGTGGGGGAGGCGGTGTGTTAACGAGTGACTCGTGACATAGCGACGTTCCCGAGTAAGAGCAGCGTCTCCAATCAATACGTGTCAAAATTCAATACAAATCAATAATCAATCCAATCAATACGTAAGTCAGACATGACAAGCCTTGCAGGCCGGTGGCGCAAAGCGACTGAATATGTAACTATGGATGAGACGAATGTTTCCGTGACATTTCCCGCAACGTCTCAAACACACCAAAATCACTTCTCTTTGCCTGTTCTGATGACACGTTGCCCGTGGTTGGAGTAAAGGTTTGATTCGATACATGTGTCTAGCATGCAAGAGATCCTACTGGTTCTGCAAATACGAAGCAAAACGGATTTAAATGAAATGAACATCACCTAGTGCCAGAAACAGTGCTAGAGGCGTTGGTAGACAGACACCTTCGTTCTCAAGGGTGTCGGCGAGGACATTTCCGCAATGCTATAATGCCACGATATCCACAGAAAGGTCACATGTTGGTCGGTAGGTAGCGAAAGTATTATATTATGGATGTCATGCACTCCCGGGTGGTTTAAGCACTACGAGCGATTACTAGAGTGGCAATTCAGCGCGGCTAGTTTTGCAGCACGTCGACGTCATACAAAAGTTGCACGACGCAATCAAACAATGACGTGTTAGGGAGCACATTTACCAAACCGAAAAAATGTGTGGTCTAGAGCATTCTCTTTTACATAACACGCGCCTGGGTGGCCGGCTAGATACTCTTTGCTCAGGCGGGGGGTCAGTTCGACCCCCTGAGATCTCAGGAACTGAGAAAGCTAGGGACACCAAATTCAGGCGGTGTATTAACCTGTACGTGAAATCATTTAGATCAAAGTGTGAGGTTTCTACGTCATGACATTCGGGTCAAATAAGGTCAAAAAAGGTCAAGTTCCAGGTTGGTCTCCAAAGGGCCCCTAGAACCTAGATAGCTGTTCAAAGCAAAAGTTCACGTGCACATTTAAGGTCAGTGACCTTGCTTAATTTCTTTAAAGCCATGGTTACCAAAATAATACAAGGCTGCTTTGAGTTTTTCACTTAAATAAGTGATACAAATTAAGCTAGAAAGCATGGTCCTAAAACAAAAATGTTGACCTGGCTCATTTTAAGTAAGTGGCCTATTTTGTCCTTCAAGAAGTACACGGAAGGTGTATAATGCAGTTCCTGTTAGTAATAAATTTAAAATGAGCACCAAAGGGCACCCATACAACAAGTCCTAGAGTAATAAAACAAATTGATTTTGACCTCGGTCTGACCTTTATACCTGGCCCTGAGTCAATGCAATTTGCTCTTTTAGTTGGTATGTTGCATAAAAAAGTATCCCAGAGATGTATGCCTTGGTCTAACACTCAGCTGTCAGATCAGATTGAACGATTCCCTAGAAATTGCCTTCGCCGAAACCAAGGCCTCAATTTGACCTCCCATAGGTCAGCGACCTTACAAAGTACACTTAATTTTGTGATGTCATACGACCCGCCATTCAATTTTTCTACAGCTATGCCAAATTCGGCGCGGCTACGCCCCGCTCGGAAACCATTCTGGAAAAACCTTCGGGATCAATTTGACCCCCACCCGAGCGCGTGTTAAAGGGAGTGTTCCGCATCTGAATGGAAACTTGAAGTGAAACAGTCATCTTGAAGATCATTCAGTGCAGTTCACAGCCCTGTCCTTCCGAAGACATGAACCCTTCTATTTTCACAAAGTCAGAGCCAGTCACCCGGCTTTGTGGCTAGCTTATGGCTAATAACTAATGCACGGTCTCGAATTAGTGTTTCTTTCGGGTGTGGATGGGAAGATGCATTCAACACGTCTGTAATTTCAACCTGATAAAGCTAAGCTTATCCCATGACTTTAAGAAAAGTCGATTTCGCAACATTTTAGTACCTTTCGTTTCATCCACTGTTGTGTCATCAAGGGAAAACCGTTGAACAGATGTTTATTCCCACGGAGGCGATGAGGGCAGTTGTGCCCTTACAAGTCGACACAAACGCAACATGACCTCGCTCACCGCTCGCTAGCCAATAGCAGCATTTGGGCGCCCTGTGGTATCCCTGGCTCGTTCGGTCGA